ATACATAGCACCATCTCTTGGAAATTTTCCAAATGAACAAAAACACTGGCCAATTTTAATTGATTTGTATATTTTCTTTACTCCAATGTTTTCTTCTAGACTTTTATATTTAAATTCTGAAATCACTATGAGCATGGATTAGTGTTTTGGAGATATAAACATCATGTATATTTGGTAGCCATTATTTTGGATAAAATCTCTGTGGAGGACACATGAGAGAGAGAATTTAATCATTCCTAAGAATCTTGTAGGATAAGAAATAAGGTGAAGAACTTACAAATGAGACAATTAGATATAAAACAGCCATTTAGCATTGGAGCAACAGGTACAGTAAACTGGCAATCAAATGTGAAGTAAGCAGGAGGGGGCAGTTTGAGGCAAATGTATCTATATTTATATCTATATATATATCTATATATTTAAGCTAAGGTGCAGAGCTTGTTTACTACAGAGAAAGGTGATGTGGGTCGTAAATACAGAATTAAATTTGATCTTCCTTACATTATTCCAATTTGCTGAATAAATCAATCCAATGGATGGTATAATTTCCATTCTTTCTCTTTTCTTTACTTGTGAGCAAATAACTTTGACATGACAGAAATAATTTTTTAAAAGAGAAGCTGTATTTGCAAGGGTTAAATAATTCAACTTGTCAACAGCACTTCCTCTAAAATATATTTGAAGTAGAGAAATCCTTAGGCGATTTACACTTTCGGGTGAGCATCTTTCTTTGGCATTTTATTCTCTGTAGTAATTCCATTAAAAGAGCACAATTTATTGCACATCTGCCTTTGCAGATTTTATCAATGCTGAAACCTTTTAAACTGAGAATGGGATTAAATAAACCCCATTTACCAATGTGGTAAAATATAATTGACATCCAGCCCATTAAATGGCCAGCTAGATCAATATATCCACTTGGCAGCAATTTCCAGAAGATAAGGTGAAAACCTCCTGTTCTATTTGATAGATGAGTAAACTTAAAGGGAAGAATTTACAGTAGATTCAGCGTATACCTTGAAGGAATGTTCATTATTCTCAAATTACCTTCTCATGTCAGCAGATTTGTGGTTAGTAAACAGGCCATTTATACTCCTCCTCCTGCATGGGTATGGAGGCATCAGCAAGCGAGTAACTAATGTGGAAGGCAGACCAGTGTTTGAACCTATTTAATAAAGACGAGATTTCAAGTGTGATTAAAAGATATTTATACATTTTAATTGGGTAATACATACTGTTCAAGATCAGCCCAACTAATATAGCTTTCTATATGAAAGTGAAGAAGGGAGAGTGTAAAAACACAGGAAGCTAAAGAATGTAATAATAACTGTGACTCATAATGTGCTTATGAGTCTGTATACAAGTGTTTTGTGTACTTATTAATTTAATAGGAATCAGTCAAAGGAGGGAAACTAACTTGTGTTTACAATGTGCCAGAAACTATTCTTAACAAATTTACATACATTAGTATTTGTTTAATCTTCACAAAACATCTTTGAGGTCTATATCATTATGGATATGGAAACAGAATCAGAGTGAACTACCCCAAAATCACAATAAAAAATATTAAGGCTAGTATTTTAATTTAGGCTTTTGGCTTCCTAGAACCACTGTTCTATAAAACAAAATACCAGAAATAGAAATGTAATGTGTATGTAAAGTGTATATATATATTTTTTTGATATAACACTTTATATATATAATACTTCACATCTCTTTATGTATATATGAATACAGATGGTCCTAAACTAAAGCTGAGTATTATAAATGGGATTACCTTGAGCTTAACATTGCAGGGTGACACCAAAAGATATCTTTCCCCCACTGCATTGCTCTTTTATGGGCTCTCCCTGATCAACCCTTTCTTCCTCCTAGCAATCAAGAGCATGGGAGGCGGGAAAGACGAAAAGGAGTTTTTTGCTGCCTTGTCTCTGGCTCCAAGGTAGAAACCAGATTTTATATCAGAAAGAATTCAAAGGGTCCAGTCTGAGGTTCTCTGTCATTGTTGTATAGATTTGGAGAACGCACTACAAGTCAGAGGATGAGGGGTGGATAGAGGAGGACAGGGAGTGTTGGAGTGAAAGTTGCTCTGAGAAGGATCAATATTAAAAACAACCCCAAAATCTCTTAGCATGATAAGGATAAGCCCTTTGCAAATATTTATCTTGGTGGTTTACTATATAAACATAAACCCACAGCTGCTGGTGTGGACGCGGTCTAGATGAGAAATATTGCTCTGGCTTTGTGACAGTCCAGAAGATGAAAGAGTATCCCTTTTTCAGTGCTATGGGCACACAGCGCTATCACCTCAGCTATCTCCACATGAGCCCCGTATTAAGAAAGGAAGAATTGATTTTCAGGGTAAAGAGGCTTTTGAGTTAATCTTCCTGTATACACATGTATTAAGCATGGTTGGTTGGAGTAAGTAATTCACTCCTGTGTCCTTTAAGTCATGGATTTAGCCCTGATGCAGGTGGATATTTATGGCTTTTTGTGAGCTGCGAATTATGACTGACCCCAGGTTACACGGGTCTAAATACAATTATAAGCATCCTAACATGGCATGGTGCCTTTTTAAGGGAAGCCAGCCTGTTAAATTGTGATTTCATATTTCCAAGGCAGCACGGGGAGGATGCTCTCACTCCCTGTTTCTTACTCACAGTGCATCATAGATGTTCAGCACTTACTAAAACATCTTCTGTGCTTCATGCTATGGGAAACTTCTTAAGTGCCCTTTGTAGCAATGTCAATTTTCAGGGTTTACCTAGTCGTGAATATGGGAAAGGAAGGAATTCTGCCTACTGACTTAGACGTCCTTAAATCTTACACTTGGTGTTAGAGCCTCCTTGCTTTCCTCGGTTGGGTTACAAGGTCAATTTTCAGCTTATCACTGTCTCATAAAACTTCTGACACCTTCTCCTTGGATGAGGGTTGCTCCCTTTGCATAGGCAGCAGGGAGAGGTCAGTGTGAGATAGAACTCATTTTTTCTCACTGCCACGTGTGGATTGTTTGCCCACGGCTTAGTTTATACATGTTTATCAACTATAGTCTCCCTTAAAACATTATTTCACAACTTCAAGTGTAATGTGAGGATCTCGTAGAAGTAAACTAGCAATTCCTCCTCATTGTCAGACTTTTTACTTTTACATATGCCATAAATATGTCTGTTGCTATTATTTTTTTATTCAGTTTTTTTAGCCACTGAAAATAAAAAGAGAACTGAATTTCATATTTACCTTTACCTGTGTAATTTTGTTGGAGGAGGTATTGAGAGGACATTGAGTGTCAGTTGACCCTCGAGCTGGATCCTAGCTCCTCACCCTCTCCTCTGTCCTTGAAAAAATGTATGTTCTGATGGGGCCAATTTCAAGGACTTAGCCTTTTTTTTTTTTTTTAAGATTTTATTTATTTGAGAGAGAGAGAACAAGCGAGAGAGAGCACAAGTAGGGTGAAGGGTAGAGAGAGAAGCAGACTCTCTGCTGAGCAGGGAGCCCGATGCGGGACTTGATTCCAGGACTCTGGGATCATGACCCAAGCTGAAGGCAGATGCTTAATCGACTGAGCCACCCAGGCACCCAAGGACTTAGCCTTATGAGAGCAATGTGTTGAGACCAACTGGATGGTGTATATGACTGAACACCATTAAGGCCTCTATATAAACTTTTAAGATTCTGGTGGGCAGGTTTAGAGATCTACATATCTTGTGGTTGTCCAAGACAAGCCTCATCTGTAAGTTCTCTTGCTTATTTAACCTGCCAGCTCCCAATCTGGACTGGCTTGACTTTTTCTTCAGTCTCTCCTTGCCCTCTGTGTAAGAGGGACACTCCCAAGCTTATGAACAAATTTCTGCTGTTCTTCATTTATGTGTGTTTGACTGTATATGTATGCATAGGTATGCTTAGTTCCAAGTTTCTGTTAGATGTTATTCCTTTTATTTAACAATTCCTTTAATATTATAGTGTGAATGTACCGTCAAAAATTCCATCAATTTTGCCTGTCTGAAAAAAATCTTATTTTTCATTTTTTGAAAGATATGTTTCACTGGATATAGAATTCTAGGTTAACAGATTTTCTTCTTTCAGTATTTTAAAGGTATAACACCATTGTCTTTGGCTTGCATAAATTTCCATGAGAATGTTGATAGTCTTTGTTCCTTTATATGTAATGTATCTTTTATTTGCTGTCTGTCTTCAAGATTTTCTCTATCATTTTCAGTAATTTGAATCTGATATATCTTGGTGATTTTTTTGCTGTTCATTTACTTATTTGATATTTATATACTTACTTATTTTGTACTTATCCTGTTTGGTATTTCCTTAATTTTTTGGATCTTTGATTTGTTTTCTTGTGTTAAACTAGAAAATTCTCAGCCATCATCTTTTGAAATATTTATTTTGCTGTTCTCTCTCTCCTTCTCCATATCTCTGCTGGAATTCCCTATTTGTTCATGCATGATGTCTACCTTTTCTAATAGAACCTTTAACATATTAATAATAATTATCTTAAATTCCCTATCCAGATGTTCCAACATCTAGTCTGTATCCCAGTCTGGTTTTGGGAATTAATTTTTCTTTTTCAATATATTTTTAAAAAATTTTTAAAAAGATTTATTTATTTATTTTGGGGGGGCAAAGGAAGAGGAGAGTCTTTTCTTTTTTTTTAGGTTTATTTGTTTATTTTTAGAGAGAGAACGAGCATGAGTGTATAAGCAGGAGGGGCAGAAGGGGAAGGAGAAAGAATCCCAAGCAGACTCCACACTCAGCACAGAGCCCAATCGGGGGCTCTATGCAGGCCTCAGTCCCAGGACCCTGAGATCACGACCTGAGCTGAAACCAAGAGTTGGACACTTAACTGACTGCACCACCCAGGCACCCCTCTTTTTCAGTATTTTGTTCTACTTCTTTTTTTTATGCTTCATATAAGTTTTCGTTGAAGCCAGATACCTTGTGTAAGGCAGTGAAGACAGAGATAAATAAAATTCATGCCAGAAAATGGGCACATTTCTTTTATTGTGGGATAAGGTGTAGTCAATTGAATAGGTATTTGCTGGGTTTGGGTTTTGTTGTCCCTACTGTTACTTTAAGCATACTATAGACTTCAAATGGCATTACATTCTGTTTAGCGTGGGGACCAGCCAGTTGGTTGAGAGTTTTCTTCAGTGCGTGCTCCACCCTCAACTTCATGATTTCTCTCTGCACCTCGAGCTCAGAGAGGCTCTCTCTCCATGCTCTTCTACCATCCCCAGCAGTAGATGGCTGTTACATGTTGCTCGACTCTTACTAGGCAGGTTTGGGGAGAGGGCAGTATTCTTTACTGTTCTTTTTCATTCTCAGCCTTAGTTGAGTGCTGTTTTTCTGAATCCTTGGAGTGGGGCCTTCTCAGTGATCCTGCCCCTCCCCAATGAGCAGGGATGTGCAAGTGCCCGGCCCCAGGAGTTTCCTGCCCTTTGCCCAAGATGGGTCTTCACAAATGCTGTCAGAGTGAAAGGTTTTGCTGTCCTTCCTTTAGCATCTTGAGGTTTCTGTTCTATAGGGAAGATAGGAAAGCAGGATCCAGACAGGGTTTGTATAATTTCCCACAATCTTTTGTTTTCTAGTTCTAGAGAATTCAGAGATACCATGCAAAGCACCAAGATAGGAACACAGGCAAATAAAACAAACTGATCTGTTTAGGTGAATAGAGGAACTGAGAACAAGATTCTCAGGAACAAGACAGAGTTCAAATATTATAATCAAGACATATAAGGTTAGAGTTTTATAGTCAGAAGAACGACTTCTGTTTTTCTATCTCTGAAATGCTTTTCTCCCTTCCATTGTCAATGCTTACTTTCTTTTGCTCCTTTCTGTTTATCCCATTTTCTTGTTCTCCTCTGCTATATGTCCATCAAAAGATTGGTCTTATGTTTTTTTTTTCTCTCTCTCTCTCTCTCCCTCTCATCAACAAAACTCCAGATATTCTTTTCCATTTGATTTTTAGAATAAAACTGATATTGAATTGATACACTGGTTCTGAATCCTAAGTATTTGTTTGGATACTCTTCTGTCATACCCTCATTAAACAAATTTATGTTTATTAAACACCAGAGGGTGCAAAAATGACTCCAAAAAATAGCAATAATAATAACAAAGGATCATTCGTCCAAGCCTTTATTTATTCCACAGATATTTATTGTAAGAGTAGGGACCTTGTCTTTTTCAGTTATGTCATATTTCCAACAGTTAAATATATAAACTGGTACAAACTAGGCATTCATTGAACATTACTAAATTACTTAATGAAAGTAAAGGAAGCCAAGAGTTGTGTTAACTCGGGAGGGAAGGGGAGATGATAGCCATCATTAAATAAATGAAATAACACGGGGTTATAGTAGAGAGTTGATATTCACTGATTAGGTGAATTATTAGGTGAATATTAGGTTAATTAAGTGAAAAATTTTACTCTGCAATGAAAGTGATATATTTTGGATTTTTTTTTTAATGGCTGAAAGCAAAGATTGAATAATTGGTATCTATTCCTAAAGAACTACGAAATCTCGATTCCATAAACATTTTGAGAAAAAAACCCATAGGAATTATTGACTATATAGGATTTTAATATTCTTACCTGAAGGCAGATTGTGTGAAATCCTCCTGGTACCTCACAATGGGACAATGTCCTCATTAACACGTGTAGCTATTTGCATCTAAAGCTTTCCTTTATCTTCTTTGTCATCTCTAAATTGCTGAAACCTGGAATAAAATAGATGATTCCCCAAAGTAACACCAGGATATGTAATGCTGAATTTCATAAATAATCTTTTTTTCCTGCATCTTGGCACAGAAAATTTCCTGAAATATAAAAACACTATTCCCACATTTGATGTAAATAGAATACTCACGCATTTTAAATATTCTCAATATGCCACTCAGTTAATACTCTAAACAAATAGCATGCTTCTCAAAATTACATATTAACTCCAGGGAAAGGAGAAAAGGAGAAATTGTTTCCTCTGCAGTTATGTACAGCATTTAAATATCACACAGTACTCTTTGAGGGTCACAGTTTAACATCTCTCTTAAAGGAGCACCTTGGAGATGTGTGCACGTAACAGGGATAAGGACTTCTTTTCTACATGTGGTAACATTGAATAGGAAATAGTTTACAATGAAAAGTATATAAATAATCCAGTTTCCTACAGCATTTAGCACAGCCAAAGTATATGAGTCACAATTAGGAAAATCTGAATGTGGTCCCTGCAGCTGAATTTGGTCAACAGAGTATATGCTCTGAGCATTCAAAGTGAAAAATACCAGAAGTTCAGTGATATATTTGTAGGATGGAGCATTCATTTAAAAAACAAGGAATGTATAGATACTTTGATACCATTTGAACTATTTCTTTTGCTTCAAAGACATCATTTTACTTAATATAGAAACCCTAAAAACATTTTGGCTAGAGGCAGGAACAAAAGAAAGATGCCTTCCATTAGCATTATTATTTATCTTTGGTGCTATTATCCAGTGTGGTTAGATAAATAGAAGTTTAAAATTTGGAATGTTTCTGGTGACAGAACTAGGAGAATTAATTTTTTTAAATTAAAAAAAACACAAGAAAAATCTGATTGCTATTGCTGTGTTAGCAAATCATCCCAAAATTAAGTGGTTTAAAACAACAATTATTTCTAATCACTCATGATTTCTGTGGATTAGGTATTTGGGAGCATCTCAGCTGTGGAGTTCAGAGTCAGCCTAGTCCTGGAGCCATCTCAAAAGCTTCTATACTCATATATCTAGTACCTGGGCTGAGAGCTGGATGTTGAAAGAGCTGGGGCTCATTGGTATTTCTGTCTCTTTATGTAATTTCACCACACTGTTTCTCCACCAAGGCAATCACAGGGCTGTTAGATTGCTTGCATGGTGACCTAAGGTTCCAAAGACACATTTCCTGAGATAGAAAGCCATATTGCAGGTTTCAAGTTTCATCTTAAGAAAATCATGCAGCTATCTTTTGAAAATACAATCTTCTATAAGCTCATTCAGATGGAAAAATACAAATTATGTATAGCCTATTGAGAACAGATCTATATTTAATATAATATTTCAGGAAATTCCCAATACATGGAATATGTAAATGAAAATCATACAACCATAAGTCACTCTATAAGAAAAGATTGTCAATTCTTTTTTTAACATCAACTATTATTCAGACTAAAATAATATATATATAGTGACTCTAATATAAAAATAAAAACTTTTGCATCATTACAAAATAAATGATTGCCACAGTTAAAAAAAATAATAGCAAACTTGTAAAGTTGTAAGAAATGTTTACAGCTTCTATCATAGACAAAGATTTAATCCTTCTAATATTTAAAAATATTCTTCAATAAATAAGATAAAGACTAAAAACCCAATGGGGGAAATGGGAGAAGAAATAAAAGAATATTAGTGAAAATAACATATAAACAGTCCTTAAACATATGAAAAGTACTGAATCTCATTTATAATAAGAGAAAGAAAATTAAAAGTATACTGAGAAACCCCCAATTCACCTATCAGACTGATACCATTCCAAAATGTATTAACATACAATACTGGTGAGGCCCATAAGAAAAAATGAATGTACTGCTTTTTGAAATTATAATTGTCTAGGAAGGGCCTTTTGTCAATTTCTTTCAAAATTGCACTTCAGGAAATATACTTGTGGTAGCCAGAATTTTAAGGAGGTCCCTAATGACCGATGCCCTTGTATAATCACAGCCCCTTGGGTGTAGGCTAGACCTATAACATGCTTAACCAATAAATATAGTAAAAGTGATGGGCTATCATTCCTGTGATTGTGCAAGTTATAAGTCTGCTCTGAAAGGGATTTTGCAGGTGTAATTAAAGCCCCTAATCAGTTGCCTTTAAGTTAATCAAAGGTGAGAATATCCTGAGTGGGACTGATCTGATCGGGTAAGCTCTTATTAAATAAAAACAAACAAAATAAAACAAAGAAAGCAAAGTGCAGAACAATGCTGTGGTGTACAACCAGTTACATAACAAAAGGGGAAAAGGAATATAGATTTCTATTTGCTTGTCTAAATATAAAAAAGAACCTTTGAGTGAAGCAAAAATAGTAGTAGTCATTTGCTATGGCATCTGGAAGATGGGATCTAATTTGAAAGAGGACAGTCAAAGAAGGTAACCTTTTTACTGTTAATGTATTATTTAAAAATTTTTAATATATTTTATTTTAAAATGTTAAAAAATAAAAGTATGAATGTCAAAATCCGTAATCAACTTTTAAAGAATACCACAATGCAGGAGAAATATGTATCAATGAATGAAGGCCAAGAAGATTCAAGAACATTAACACAGTGTAAGAGAGTGGACAGAACAGAGCCAGAGGATTCAAGGTGAGGGTATACAGCCGGCTCACTGTGGAATGGTCTAGTTTTGAGTACTGGAAATGGACAGATACCTGGGATAATGAGACCCTGTCATTTCTGGAGGCAGTCAGGTATTGGTTGGGTCAGGTATAGGGCATGATGAGCCTGGTGACTGGATCGGAGAAATAGCGGTCTATAGCCACACTGTTGAGAGCCAACTCTGGTTTCTACCCAAACAGACAAACTCCTTTTTCATCTCTTAATTCCTATATTTCCTATAGTGCCACTTCTTTATTTGTTTCCAGGACGCTTTTTTGCAAGTCACATGGTGTTTCCATGTCTTTGATGTAAATATTGCCAACATTATAGGACAATCCTGCTGATAACATCGGTGAATTCCCAGTGTCTGTCCTTGAGGGATCTCACAGTGGCCTCTCTACTTAGCATTTCTAACCACTCACCTTTTATTGCCAGAGTGATCCTGCCAGTATTTTCAGAAACAAACACAGGCCAATATAATATATTTTATTGTTTGTTTAGTGAGAAGATTTAGGCCTTTAAGCAGGGAGACTTAGAGACATCTTAAAAGTGCTTTGTAGTTTAAAAGCACGTCTGTGACTTCAATATTGGACTAAGGTATTGTCATAATAATGATATCTGCAGATCAGGTGCAAAGAATATGAATGAAAATAATCTCTCTGTCCTATTCAGTGCGTGTCTCTAGGATCTGTTTCTACAGTGGGAAGCTGTGGGGAACAAATCTGAAGCTGATGCTTTGCACTTCATCTGGTACCATTAGAGGGCCAGCCACAGTCCCCTCCCCTCCCCCCAGGCAAGGGAACCCGGGTGTATTTTCACTCTTTCATTATTCATTATAATTCTCCACTCTTTAAGCTGCAACTTGGGAGTCATTATGCACTTTTGGGAACTGTATTAGCTATAGCAGGCCACTAGAGAATATGTAGTGTGCAGAGGCTGTAATTTACAAAATACGCTCTAGAAAAAGAAGCCAGGGAATGAAGCTTGGGAAGTGCTTCCTTTTCTGCATTGCCACTTATACACTATGGGAATTAAACTCAACAACCTCATCATGACATAAGAGCTTCACAAATAGAAAGGAGTCTTTCTATTGTGTAGAACAAGACAATGCAGAGAATCTCTTGTTTCCACATGAGCTATTGTTATAATAAACACACATTCCCATGGTTCTCCTAATAGCTGTGGAACAAGAATACTAGCGAGATCCTTTCCTGCTTGATAATTCTCAGGATGGATGAGCTTTACTTTCTTTATTCTCCTATCAGAATAAGTAGCCAATGAAGCTATGTGATTTTTGTTAAAATTTTATTTTGGGGAGAGTAGATAATTGATGTGAAATCATTGAAACTTTGTTGTGGATATTTCCAGTGTATAGATAAGCCATTACTAAGTTAATCGCTGCTGACAAGAGACAGGTCTTTCTTTTAGCTATTGAGGGACTGCTTGGTTGTTTCCTAGTTTTGGTGATTATAAATAAAGCTGATATTAAAAAATAGGATGTAGGTATTTGTGGGAAATACATCTTCACATCAGTTGGGGTAAATACCTAGAAGCACATTAGAGGCAGGAGGTAGAAGAACATTAAATATAGCTTTGTAAGAACCGCAATGCTGTATTTCAAAGTAACTGTGACATACTGCATTCCCAACAGCAATGAAAGAGTTTCTGTTGCTATTCATCCTTGACAGCATTTATTATTGTCGCTTTTTTGGATTTTAGCCATTCTAATAGATGTATAGTGGTGGTATCTCATTGCTATTTTAATTTGCAATTCCTTAATAACAAATGATGGTGAGCATATTTTCATATGCTTATTTGCCTTCTGAATATCTTCTTTTATGAGGTGTCTGTTCAGTTCTTTTGCCCATATTTTAATTGGGTTTATTTTCTTATTGTTGAGTTTTAAGAGTTCTTTGGACACTTTGGATACCAGTTCTTTATCAGATCTGTGTTTTTCAAATATTTTCTCCCAATAGGTGACTTGTGTTTTCATCCTATTAAGTTATGTTTGTTTGCAGAGAAGCTTTTAATTTTGGTAAAGTCCACATTATTATTTTCTTTCATGGAATGTGCTTTTTGATGTTTTATTTAAAAACAAGCCCAGATGATTTCCTGTTTTCTTCTAGAAGTGTTCTAGTTTGTTTATGGGTTTTGTTTGCTTTTGTTTGCTTATTTGTTTACATTTATCTGTTATCCATTTGGATTAATTTTTTGTGCAAAGTTTTAGGTCTGTGTCTAGATTCATTGTTGTTGTTGTCGTTTAATGTGGCTATCCAGACAATACTAGTGCTTTCTTCACATTCTGTATACCTTTCACTTACTTTTCTTGTTATATTTCAT